ACAAATATAGGTGCAATGTTTGGCGTGATTTCTCCATTTCTATAAATCTCTCTTCAAAGGCCCTCTACACTTCTAATGTAATAATTTACTCTGTTTATACCCTAAAAACAGTCTGAATATTTTGTAGAGATAATTTTTCATAGATTTACCCTGTATTACGATTTTTTTTTAATTCTGCTGTAGTAAGATGAAGTGGTAGAAGGTATGGCATTTTCTGTAAAATTTCATCAAAGAAGCGAAGTTCATATATGACCGGATGGTGCTGGTTTTATGAAACTCGTAAACGAGTCCGTAATTACGAAGGATAATGTGACGTCTGTAAATTCTGAATGTCTCAAGTGCGCAATTCACTCTGTTTGGCCTGCTAGCATATGCATGTACTAAAACACAATGTGTTTTGGGTATTAACAACACATGCAACAAGTAATAGGGACCCTTGTTAGTATATACTCAAACTTAAGTTAATAATTTATTTGACTAAATGTTACCTACACATTAGGTAGACGTTATTATTTCAATCTCTTCGAGGCTACGTTACCTTGTCTGTGCCTGTAGGTCTGTCTGTGTGTGTGTGTGTGTGTGTGTGTGTGTGTGTGTATGTCTGTCTGTGTGTATGTGTGTGTTTTGTATGTGTGTGTGTCTGTATGTCTGTGTTTGTTTATGTGTATGTGTGTGTGTGTGTGTGTGTGTGCGTGTGTGTATGTATGTATGTATGTATGTGTGTTTGTGTGTGTGAGTGTGTATGTGTGTGTATGTGTTTGTGCGTGTGTATATGTATGTTTGTGTATCTGTGTGTGTGTGTTTGTGAGTGTATATGTGTGTGTATGCGTGTGTGAATGTGTGCGTGGCTGTGTGTGCGTATGTGCGTGTGCTTGTGTGTATGTGTGTATGTGTGTTTTGTATGTATGTGTGTGTGTGCGTGTGTGTGTGTGTGTGTGCAATATGGTGTAAAAAGAATAGACATAAATTACGATAGTTCGATTTGTTTTTTTTTATTTATAAACTGTATGCAGAGATATACGGTCCGCTCTGTCCAACTAACAGAAGTCTAGCACTCATAAGTGGACAATAAAGTGAACAAACAATTAACAATTTAAACCTCTTTAACCGAATTTGTACCGCGCCTGTGTGTGATCTTTCTAAAGGAAAGGTTTTACCTTCCCTAGCAATAAGCCAATCTTAGATTTTAAGACAATTTTGCTTAACTTAGATCACAAGCTCATTTGCGTAACCAAATACTAGTAAGCTCATAATCTAAGTTAGGCAAATCTAATTAGGCAAATGGGCCCAAATTAAATAATGAGTCCATTTGTCCGACATATATTGTGACCCCATTTGCATACATCCTGAGCCGATTTGCCTAACTTATATTGAGGCAACTTGCCTAACTTAGATAATGAGCCCATTTGCCTAACTTAGATGATGAGCCCATTTGCCTAACTTAGATAATGAGCCGATTTGCCTAACTTAGATAATGAGCCCATTTGCCTAACTTAGATAATGAGCCCATTTGCCTAACTTATATTGAGGCAACTTGCCTAACTTAGATAATGAGCCGATTTGCCTAACTTAGATAATGAGCCGATTTGCCTAACTTAGATAATGAGCCCATTTGCCTAACTTAGATAATGAGCCGATTTGCCTAACTTAGATAATGAGCCCATTTGCCTAACTTAGATTGAGGCAACTTGCCTAACTAAGATTATGAGCCGATTTGCCTAACTTAGATAATGAGCCCATTTGCCTAACTTAGATAATGAGCCGATTTGCCTAACTTAGATAATGAGCCCATTTGCCTAACTTAGATAATGAGCCGATTTGCCTAACTTAGATAATGAGCCCATTTGCCTAACTTAGATAATGAGCCCATTTGCCTAACTTAGATAATGAGCCCATTTGCCTAACTTAGATGATGAGCCCATTTGCCTAACTTAGATAATGAGCCCATTTACCTAACTTAGATAATGAGCCCATTTGCCTAACTTAGATAATGAACCTTAGCATGTGACCTTCCCAGCAGTGAATTGGCCCATAAACTCATAAAAACCCTAGACAGTCTATCCTTCAGAACAAAGGCAGGAGCATTTACATACTGGTCAGTTTTCAAAGATTCAATGTTTTTATTATCTATCGGTTTTCAGTGTAATATTTTCAAAAGGAAGAATGACTCTGATACTTACAAAGTTACAAAGACACATAAGCAAGAAAATTGCAACTTTCAGTTCGAAAAATCAACCTTGAACAAATTCCAACCTTCAAATCAGCTCATATAAGGTTCCGGGTCGGAGTTTAATTCTGACCAGAGACTAAGTAAGTGCGCAGTAAATCGCCGGAAACGTGACTTTGTATGGTATGTTTTGGCCGCGATATCCCTGAAATCGTAATATCTGTGTACATATCTTTGTATTTTCTGAAAAGCCTGTTAGTTGTAGCCTTTATAGGTGGCGTAATGTTGGTGGTCCAGCGAAGACTTCCTGGTATTCGTCCGCGCGGATGGTTATGTGGCCTTTTCGCCTGACCGCCGGGACGGTACGTTCTATATGCGTTCTGGGTGTGTTCGGGCCATCGAAGATACCGATAAACTTATCGCATCGATTTCAATTAAATTCAAATTTTGGAAACATTAGGTTCTGAGCTTCTTCGAGTACTAAGCCGTTACCCTGGGAAAATTCGTTTTTTCCATGCATCCATGGTTAGAAATGACGAAAAAAATTACCCCTTTTTTAAAAATGTACTTTGATGTGCCTTATTTACCCCTAAATAAATTGGGCGCAGAAAATATAAATCAAGTGTATTGATAAGCGGCACGGCACCCCTTTCCACCAAAAGAGTGAAAAATTCCGCGATCCGAACCGCGTTTAGTACAGAAATGACAGCCCGTCGGGCTGAGGGTGTCAAATTGCTCGAAATACGGAGGGAAACTCCGGTCCGAGACCTTAAGGTTCTGATGCAACGTTGACCAAAAACCCAACGAAAAACGCGAAAAAACGGGGTTCTGCGCAGGCGCAGTACGTTCTGCCGACGTGTTACAAGGGTCCCTATTACTTGTTACTAGGTTGTTGATATTCACAACGCATTGTGTTTTAGTACATATATATATATGCTAGCAGGCCAAACAGAGTGGCTGAATTGGTGGGCGTTTTCTGCTTAGGTCACATTTGAAACGGCGCCCGTTCGGCATATCCTCGGCGTAGACGCCGGCCGGCGTCATGACGCCGAGCGTGCGCCGACTGTCAGGGTCACAATTAAATGTTCCTTTACGGCTCCCTGTCGGGGCCTGGTTGTGCTCCGGCCGGCGTTGAGGCGTCTTCTAATTAACATTCATAACCTTTTGGCCCCCTTGGCGGCCGGTTTCTGTCAGGGACCCGTCTGGTGCCCGGTCAGTCTCCCGCCTTGACCCGTGCGGCGTGTGGTAGGGTGCCGACCGGCTCTTACAGTTCGGCCGGGCAGCTTTCAGGTCCCTGGTGGGATGCCGACGGGCTCGGCATTCTGACACACAAGTGCAGGGTGTAACACACACATGAAATGTGCGACGTAGTCTGAACAAGGAGTTTACATATGTCCCATATAACCCCATTTTTATTACCACCTTATGCACTGATCAGCACATGTGACGTCGTAATCTTAGGCAGGTGCCTGTTCGGCCGCCCGACGGGTCCCGGGCAGTGAGATTACGGCGTCGCTTCGGCGTACCTTGCCGAACGGGGCCCGAAGTGATTTAAAGTTTGAGTTAAAATTGATTCGGCGACCGCGCGGGGCCAAAAATAGGCCGGCAGCCGTCGGGAAGCCCGCCGGTCTCCGTCCAGGTCCCTTTCGGTAGTGCCAATATACAGGCCGAACACGCGCCGAGCTGGTCCCTTTCTTGAATTGTGACCTAAGCTTTATTGTAAGCTCATCCCATTAACCTATTAACTTAACTGGGAAGCCATTGTTTGTTCATTATAGTCTGTTTTGCTGTGCCATAGCAAAATTGATATAATAAGGAAATTTTTTAACTGCAAGTGGCTACTTTCCGCAAGAGGCCCTTTCGCTCTGACACCGGCTGACCAGAGTACTCACTACCACCCTTAAAATTTCTTATTATGTAAAACAGTTACATGTATCAATTATGCAATTTATCTCCTTGTTTAAATAATTTGGACTATCTCATTTAAAGGTACCAATTAAGAGACATAATTGTACCATTTTCTTCCGCGGTAGCAGCGCGCGGTAAGAAAGTGACGAAAGGGTTTTGAGGGTCCAAGTTTGGAGTGAAAGTTCTCATAAAATGCCACGAAATATCATTTAATATTAATCAACATGACTGAAAAGTGTAAGGAATGGTGATCTGGGTGAAGATTTCTTTTGGCTCCGAACCTTACTTCCGGGAGCCAAGTGTAATTCGCCCGTTTGACCTAGATTTCGCTCTGCGGGCGTTGTGGAATCCCTAACCCTAATTAACCCCTCTTGCCGTGGACGATTTTTAAAAAATACAGAAATAGGATTTTCTGTATAGTGTTCTCAGGTATAGTCATGGCTTTGGTCTTTCTTCCGGCATTAGTCATTTCTGCCCAATATTTGCATTGATTTTGGAGTAAAATTGAGGTTTTTTCTTTTGATTTTTACCGAAATTAAAGAGATTAAAGAAACCAAACTCAGCTGGTCTTGCAGCTGAAGAGATATCCTTTCGTCACTTATACAGTTATTCTCCTTCCGAATTATACCACGGCAGAGACGGTCGCTAGACTTTAGGGTGTGCAGCTTTGAATAGAAACGCCAAATAAACTGGGGTGTGCCCGCTTTAAAAACTTACTCACTACGAAAAGTTGTCAACCACTTTCTTGAGCTTTTCAAAACAAAATTGACCTTTGCAGTTTGAGAAAAGCCAACATGGTATTAAACAGGCACTACTTTATGCGACCTAGAGCTATTTGGCAATTAGAAAATCATAAGCCTAGCGTAACTAGAACAATAGACAAAAGTAACAATGTCGCTGATGCAGTTTGTTTCCTTCTCTGCAGTCCTCCAGGAAGCGTCTGCAGTTTCGTAGCCTCCCGCCAGGTATCGTACCAAGTGGAGAACAGGAGACGCCGGGACTCATCTCCGGGTGTTTGGGATTACATCGCGGAGGTGTTCGGGACGAGGGATAGGTATACAGGGGTATCCTCTACCAGCCTTCAGGAGGCGGTTGGAAAGAACAGAATTTGGCCTATAGCTAGTAGAGAGATAACATGCTCAGGGAATTGGTTCGCTAGAGGGTACATTTTGTCCCACCAAAATGTAATCTCTAGCATACCACCTCCCTCTGCTTGGCATGTTATCTCTAATTTCCGCTATTTTCAGCTGCCTCCCAAAGCCTGGTAGAGGCTATGGTAAGGGATACTGCTGTAAAATTCCTTCATGTAAAGCCCCTTTACTGAGAGCCGAATATGGCCCCTCAAACTCTAGCCGAACTTCCTCCAACCGTTGTTAGGCGAAGGGCGGGAGCGAGGACGGCTGGTGTCTGGCTGCACAAGCCGAATATTTAAAAAAAGGTCAAACTTTAGAACATTTATTGACAGGAGGTTCGGTCATGACTGGCTGGCCAGTGTTGGAAGTAGTTCGGGCGAGGATTACAGTAACGTATATGACTCAAATTTTACTTAAATCTGATTCAATTTGTGTCGAAAGGTCAGCGTGGCCCATATATCGGCTAACTTAGGATGGCTTATACATACAGGTACCGCCGTGCTTTTGTGACTGTCTATGGCGTCGAGTATTTTGAGGATTTTGAGTGCTGCCTGGGATGGAACAGGATTGGCGACACGTGCCAAGGTGCAAAGATTTGTGTTGTTCTTTTTTTAAAATTTCCTATTCGTAAAGAATAGCACCACGTCCTTATATACAGTCCAAATGACTTTGAGGAGTCGTCATTTATTACTACAAGGATTGATATTCTACTATCTTAAACTATTTATCAACATAAACATCACACAAATCGTACTGTTAACGGGAAATGTAAGAGGTTTGGGTTAATCTGGCTTTTGTATCCCACCTTGTCAAAATTACTGATTATTGTTTTTTTTTCTGTAACCGAACTCATAGCTGACTGCTACTTCCCATGTAACAATGGACTGTGCGTGAGCACCAACGTGTGTGAGTGCGACGAAGGATGGGAGGGACAGAATTGTGACGAGGGTAATGTACTAAAATGATGCATTTGTTATAAGCGTTCACTTACTGAGTTTTGTGTCTCTAATTTTTTGACCGACACTAACATACGCCCGCGCTGGACCCATTTTTCCCGAATGAAATCCCAAACAAAGTTTGTAAAAAATCGTACTTGTTCTTGTCGGTCTCCGGAAGGCATCCAGGAGGTACCCGGCAGCTTCTCTGACGGTGTCTTGTACTGACCCACTTAATACAGAGTTCACGCTTTTGTTGTGATCATCTGATCTGTGACGTCAAACATTTGAAACGGTCTTGCGAAGTACACACCCTTATTGTGTGTATCTGGTCTGTGACGTATCAAAATTAGTCCCGGAGGACTACCGGCAACCGGAGGGGTACCTCTTGGTGTTCGCACCATTAAGTTACGGCGTCTTTTTGTCAGCGGGGCCCAGGTACAATTTAAGTCAGAATTAAATTCTACTCGGGTCGCCGTCGGACTCAAAAATAGCCCGGTAGCCGCAGGGTGTCCCGCGGGGCTACGTAGGGGTCACGCCCGAAAGTGCCAAAAAACAGCCGGGAGACTACCCGGCACGGCCCCTTTTACCAATTGGGACCGAAGCTTAAGATGCTAAAACATATTACCTCTCCAAGTTGAATAAAATAAATAATGATACAAAAATGAGGCTTTCAACATTCATCATTTTTAATTTTAACATTTTATCGTGAAACTGGAAAGGAGGAATAAAAACAGACTATATATTATTAATGGAAATGTATGAATCTGTCTAAAACGTTCTGTCTTGTTAGATGTGGACGAGTGCTGGTATATGATAGACGAGTGTGATCATGTGAACGGCGGCTGCGTCAACACTCAAGGGTCATACAACTGCACCTGTAACCCTGGTCTCAACCTCATCAACGGAACATTCTGCCACGGTAAGTGGTTGCCTTTAGTGCTTCTTGGAACAAAGCAGACTGTACTAGTCTTCGAGAGGTGGGTGGAAAGAGAGTGGTCGATATAGGGAATCGCTCCGCACCCAACCTGTACTTTGTAGTGGACCAGACCAACTCCCTTGCATGTTATCTCTCTTTACCGATTTCTACTTTTTCCAGCCGCCTTCTAAAGCCTGGTAGAAACTAGGAATTAGGGTCTTCAAATACCTCCTGAAGAAGGTTCTATTTTTTGGTCACGTTTATGTGTTCGTCCCTAAAATTCACAATCGTTTGAACGGAATTATATAAAAGTTAGAGCGTAGTTATTTAATAACCCTATCTGGCCTTGGGGGTGGTAAAAGTGTCCGAGCCAACTTTGATGCCAGATAACGTCCGAAGAGCTTGCCGTAGAGCCACCAAACTTCTTCTAAAGTATTGTTGGAAACAATTCCATAGCAGTGAGATTAACAAAAAAAAGTTTTCGTGTTGCCAATGCAGCGGGTTTCTGACATTTAAAAAAAAACAGTCATTTTGCCACAAAAATGAATTTTTAAGGCTTTTATGTTAATTTACAGATGCTTTCTAACATCAATAATATCTAATATAATTTTATGTAATTTCCATCAATAACTTTGCATAATATATGCTAATTTTATGACGTCATTGGCCAAAATCAAAGATGGCAGACCATATTGTTAGATTAGGTACATTTCGGCTATTTTCCTCAAAATTCCATCCCTACTTCAATTCTTTATATACTGTAAAATGTTAATTTGAACCTCTTTAGTATATTTCCATTGTATTTGTAGGCTTTATCTTGAAAAAAAAGAGGCTTTTTAAAAATTCAATATTGACGATCCAAGATGTCGGATAATATAAGTATGCATGGCGTCATTGTATGTAATGCAGTGTTGACTATTAGCAACTGTTGTTATTCACTGTGGGGATTCAGACATTCTAAGTTCACAATGGTTAAATTGATTATGACATGTGCTTACATTGCCGTTTATTTTTTTTTGAGAAGCTATCCCAGACACTGACGAGTGTGGCTTGGGAAATGGTGGCTGTGACCACAACTGTCACAACACTCACGGCTCCTTCACCTGCAGCTGTAATGCAGGCTTTAACCTCGACAGGGATGGGCGGACATGTGTTGGTGAGTTTTCTGTCTCATGCTATAAAAAGTAGCAATGCCAGATAAGCCTAGTAATGGTTGTTATTGGTATTGTTTAACAATGACCAGACGGTCGTAGTGTCAAATATCATAGTACACTTTACAAAGGGGTAAAGTTTGGTGTATGCATCATCACAGGAAATGTTAGCTCTCCTTGGAATTTAGTGAAAGTTATTTAAGAGGTATGTTGCTGTTGTTGATTTACTATCGTATTCCACACACCGACACTTTTTTCAAAACTACGAAATACGATATTAAGCCACAGCAAGTAATTTGTATGGATGGCCTCAGTGCGCGTATTAGTTTTCGCCTGATTTTGAAAAAAAAAAAAACAAGAAATTTTGTTTGACAGTAGTCAACATGCCGGAAATAGGCAACGATATCTGTTGTCATACCGGAAGGTGGATGGCAGATAATGTAACTATGAAGAGATGAGACATGAAAAGGCTCTGATTTAATGTTTTGTTTCTTACTCTGATGCAGTGATATGTGATGCTGGCTGTGTTTATGTGATGTTCCATGTTTATGTGATATTGAGTCAAAATTTTAAATTTTAGAAACCTTGTTTTTTTAGCCCGCCTTTTTTTCGCCCGCTCGCATTAGATTTGGAATCTGCGGAGGATGTCATCCATAGAATTTACTTGCTGTGGCCTTAAGTAGTAAAATTAACAGCAAAAGCTATAACTTTTTGGGAAAAGCTACGACGACATTTTATTTAAACAGATATAAACGAGTGTAGTACCACCAACGGCGGTTGTGACCACTTCTGTGACAACACAGTGGGAGGTAGAACCTGTAGGTGCCGGCCCACTCATCGTTTGGTGGGAGAAACCACGTGTCGAGGCAAGTATCTTATAACGTAGATGCCTCCCTTTTTTTCTTTTGTAGGCTCTCCTTAACCGCTGCCACATATAGACGAATATTGCTTCGCTAACACTGCCACCCCCGCCCACCCCAACCATGGTTAGAAGTAGGTCAGGTGCAAAGTCGATTGTGATTGGATGGTGTGTGGCTAGGTCGGCTTCCGTTCGGCTACTTCAACCGAATACTTTAACATGTTAAAAGCATTCGGTTGAGGATAGGGCGGCATGGCTAATGTTTTAATAATTATATTCAGGAGTAGGTCAATGGTGGTTGCTGGAAACATGACTCAAGTTTTACCTAACTTCGATTTTATTCTGAGGTTTGGCCTAAATTTAGTCATATTGCTCCTGAACTTCATGATCAGAAAACCTTAGTCGCTTGGTTAGTCAGGGATAGTGTGTGACAGGGGCTCATCTGATCTGCAGAGACTACATCCGCCACATAACGGTTGTATACACGTTGCATGGATAGAAATTGACGTTAGTTAAGTATTTAACAAATCAACCATTGTTGGTCAAAATCTAAACAAGATATCGGAGATTACAAACGTTCGACAAATATTTTTGGTTTCACGAATTTATTATAACAACCGGGAAGATAGTGTGATGTACCGTAATCGATATTAGGAAAGGAACCGCCAGGGGTTGGTGACCCTTTCAATCAAAGAATTCTTTAATGTCCGTCATATCGCCCTGTAATTTCTGCTGGTTCCTGGTCAGATTTTGTGACCTTGAGATTCCATCAATTTTTCAGTCTACCCTTTTAGCCTCTAGTTATGTGGTCTGTCATTCTTCGTCACCCATGGCCCATCATTAATCCTTTCAAAACAATGCAGTTCCGCTCCCCAAAAAAAGCGTAAGCCAAAAAAATTGATATGTTTTTTTTTAATCATATCTAGCTGCTTGTGTATCTGTTCTTTTTACGCGTCTTATCATCTGGATGTCTAACATTCACAGACGTAGAGTAGGCGTAGTGTAATTAGAGCTTGCTATTATTGTTGCATATAACACTTTTTTTAAAGAAAAGTAGATTAGGCCAAAACAGCAGTAGATTAGCTTCTTACTCTTAGGACTGTTAGTTTTAGAAATGTTACTGCTTAGAATCGTAATACTACACATGAACTGCTAAATGTTAGCAACATGTAAATGTTAGCAATGACAACTACGAGTGTAGGTAAATGCTGCCACAGGTTTTATCTGCTTATATTGTCGTGCAAAAGAGTTCTTCTTATTATTTGTACAGATGATGACATGTATCCTTATGGGGAAGAAGTAAACGAATGGCCCCGTCGGTGGGAATTTTCCGTGTGTCAGGAGGAAGAGCTTCCACCAGAGGGCTTCAGGTTCTTTGGACGGAGACATCACAATATTCACGTGAGCTTCATCTTTGCCCAATAATAATAATATCATCAAGTACTATCAAAAGCTAAAATACTCATATATGTTTGATAGAGCACATCGCTTTTTTTAACAGGTATTAAACCTCAATAGAGTTTGCAGACCTTCTAGTATATGAGTTAACAGGCGCATACAATCTACAAATAGAATAAAACTTAAATTAACAAAGGATAACTACACACTGGTTCCATCCATCCTTCAACAAATGAGGTAAAACTCAGTACATGAAAAGTAACTTTTCAAAAGGTGTTGTTACCACGTTTTTGTTCAGATATGTGACAACGGAATAGTGAGCTTTGATGACATCGTCCGACCAACATGGCCGACGCTACTTCAAGAGGTGGCTGCTTACAGTGTGGCTGCGGTCATTGCTCCCTTCCTAGCTAGATCAAATCCGACAAGTAAGTTTAGGATTCACAGAAGAACCAATAGCCTCTTCCTTACAGCAATTCAACACTTAAATAACGAAAGAGACGTTTATCGGTTTGCATGAAGATTCCCTCTGAATATTTTTCATTAAATTTTTTCAAACATTATTATTGCTGAATATAAATATCTGAAATCATACATATTAAGTCTGATAAGTATAGTATGAGTTTTGAATCTTTTAACAAGAAAGAGACGGCATGGGATGAAGTCACAATCGACAAATGAGCAGCCTTCAACAAGAACTAAAACATTGTACATTAAATCTATACATTGGTATTATTATTCTACCAGTTATAACCATACGGACATATTTCAGTTCTAGACATCCTGCCAGAAGATGAGAGAACTCAGATCTTCTACAGCTTCTATCAGGATGATGACGGAAATCCAAACACGAACCAGATTCTGTCAAGGGCACGGGACGATGGAAGGTCCACTCCTGGATTTTTTGCTCCAAGTAGGAACCAAATTATTAACTAAAGGCTTTATTAAAATGTGTGTATCTTGAACGTTGTCTGTGTCGGTAAATCATTCTGAAACAAGGGTGAATTATAATTCACAACACACACGACATGATAACCTACCCCATTTTTGTAACATATGATCGACTGCTTACTGAGTAATGTGTGTCATCTGCATTAAGTAATGTCACAGAAGCGAATGTTGCTATTTGGTTGAGAAAGAGGGGGGTTGAGCAGTCGAAGGGAAAATTAGGAAATTAGATGTCAAGTTCGATTCAAAATTAATACTGATCTTTATCATGACAATAATTACAATTCTAATGTATAAGATGACACAATAAAAAAAAATAATTGCTCTAAGAATAAAACATGGTCCCTTATCATGTATGTAGGTTACTTTGTGATGTGTTTTGATCTCTTCTAGCCTCTCAATCGTGTTTTTATATATAGATTACGAGCCAGTGTGGGCTTTGGTGGTGACTTGGACTAGAGTTCCACCTGACTGCTCAATGTATATCAACGGATTGTGTCCTAGGCCACATGACCAACTTCCTGTGAGTATTTAACCTAGCATCCAGTTTATGGACAGGAGGAGGCTGAATTACCATAGATGGTGGTGTTTATTCTGCATTCATAAGTTGGGAACAACTGGCTTGACCCTCACATAATGCCTGTATTCCGCCGTTTTGACAATATTTTGTAACAATAGGAACGGGACATACATCTAGGAATCGGTTAGCCGTTTCCCTCCCATTGCTTTTTCTGTTTCAATGTCTAATTGTAGTATTACGTAATTATACAAATCTTAACTTCATCTTTTATCCCTTATGTTAGCCTAGGACTCTTATTTAATACGAAAAATTATACGCATACAAAGTCTGAGTGGTATGGTTGTATCACGCTCACTTCGGTCTCTCTGTAATTCATCATAACTATCATATATTGACTTGAAATGAGAAACACTTCGATTTTTCCCCTAGTGATGTCAATGCTTTATTACTACCGCCTCGCCATGCTTATCATAATATGTCACTAGGTCAATAATCATAATCATAATCATCATAGGTCAAGAATAAGTAACAGAATTATACACATTGCTTCGATTTTAGGTGAATGATTTCCAGCTTGTGATATCTACTGACGGAATCCTGTCATTTGCTAATTTCATCTACCCAGCCCGCGCACAACAGTGGGTCAGCCCAGGTAAGGTTTGCCATTTACAAAAATGCAACTACCTTAGTTTGTACAACTTACATATCTTTGTACATATATGAATTCAAATGACGGTTGTTGCTCTCTGCATTCCTCACTGATGAGTCAAGTAAGTACACTTCATCATTTGAATTTGAAAACAGTAAAAAAATTATTATACAAGTTTAAGGGAGAGCATGCCAAAAATTATAATGAATAATTGTTGTAGACATATAAAGCATACCCATACCAAATTTTAGATTACTTAAGTGTAGTACCAGGTCTCCAGGACCCCGAATATACAGATTTTGTCGGACAATGGCCAAAAAAACATAACAATTTTAAAAGCCTGCATCCAAAAGATGAAAAACGCCTCGGGGTATTTGCCAACTCTACCTCCATGCAAAGTTTTAGGTCATTTGGCTGAAAAATGGCAGAGCTGAATCCATTTGAAGAAATGGCACGAGAAGAAGGACTGGAAGAAGAGACACAAAACACACATAAGAGAGCATAATATGTTTTTACCACACTATGTGTGGTGAAGCCATAATTAAGAACAGCGACCTATTTCTACAACTGTACCTAAAAGCAAATAATACAGTTGTAATTCTATATTGTATTCTATGTAGATAAGTTAATATGTTGGGTAGGTTTAATGTACTAAATAATGTAGTAAATACGATAAATAAAGAACTTCTTTAAAACCATTAGTTGTATTGCTATCTTAACATCTTATGCTATATGGAATGCAGAATGGAATGAAGAATAGTTTTATATATCCCTCCTTTTATTGACCTTTTATTGCCTCCACCCAGATGAAGCTCGGGCAGGCGGCAATAACGTTTTTCCAAAGTCTTTCGTCGCTGTGGGTGGATACAGCGCAGGTGACGGGACGCTGTTCCCTTTCCGACCGGCCACCAATGCCAGCTTGATACACAGAGGATTCGAATTCTCGGGAGAGGACAATCGAAGACGCCCACCTGGCCTCGCGTATCCTGTGTCCATGAGAAACCTTTATCTAGTCAATGGAGGTGAGGAGCAGCGATTTCACACTTAGTATCTTAACCTCTGGAAATGCGACTTATATCATTTGTGATAGCAATTGTGTGTGGTTTTACTGTTTTCACCATAACTTAAAAGGGGACACGAATAAAAAGTAAGACTTGGATATTGAGGAAATGCAGAATGATAATATATGTATCAATGTACTTTATTGTATGAATTTGTCCTTTTGTACATCTGAAGTTTATTACATTATTTATTGTCGAGACTTAGCCTCAGTAGCAGGCTATACTAGTCGTATTACACTACAAGCCTATGCCCTGTGATATAACCCAGACTCCAGAGTCATTACCACTCCACTATAATCGTAAAAGAAGACAATTGAGATAATAGATGACAATAGTATAATTCATAGAGAAATACGCCATGATTTAAATTTCGAAAGAAATAATTAACTAACTCCAACTAATTTCGAGAAAAATATTATGGGTGAAGAAATCTGTCAAAATTTGATATTGAAGTTTACTGTCATTTGCTAACACATTATATTCATTATTTTATACTTAAAAGGTTTGAAATAGAATTAACGCAAGCTAAATGAGAATTCCCTTATTTCTTGGTACCACAAATACATGTACATACAAAAGCTAGAACAAGCCTGAGATTATATATACCAAACAATAACCGTTTTTTTTATGTCAGCAATATCACATTTTTGTCTTAAATAAGTATGGAATGGGATAAGGTTGATTCAATTTACTACTGTAACATTAAAAAGGATGACCAGAAATTGAGTTTGAAAATTCAATTTTACGACCATTCAAGCTCCAATTACACCATGTTATGTACATGAAACGTGACAAAAAAGTAACTGAATGGAGACAATTTTTTTGCGCAGGGAACTGGAAGTTTGCCCTGCAGGACCAAAACAACGTTTCGCCCCCCGAACCTGCGGTAGCGAGATGCTCACAGTGGATGAGACGTCAGATAGTAGAGGATCCAACCCAGCTGTTCGGTTACGACGCTTTACCATCAACCCAGTCATGTCCCTGTACGGCCGAACAGGCGTGGTTTGACTCTACGTAAGTTTTTTTTTTTTTCAAATGGATTTTGCCTTCATAGCTTTTAAGGATAGCGAATCATAAATATTTGTCCTATATTATGCAAGAAGCTCCCCCCCCCCACCGAAGAAAAATGCTGCTAAACTACAGGAATACAAAGTTGGTATTGTGAATTCGCGGTAGTGCATAGCGACATTTACGACTAGCCAGCCCTTTGTGGTATTTTCTGGCAAAAAGAATCATTGAGTATCACGTGGCATGAGAAATTCTACTTGATCAAACTTGTATCATGTCAAGATTATTTTATGAGACTAAATTGTAATCCATACCATTGCTATTTCCTGTAAAATTTAGCTACAACCTTCCAAGTTCAATCACATCGCGACCAACGTGTGCGACCAGCAGACGTCGTGTCCATGCGTTTGTTGATTCAGAGAGACTGATAATGTCCAGAATGTGCTGCTACCAAAGGGCACAATGGTGGACGCAGTCGTTTACTTCAGGGAACACGAGAAGCTCCAGGCAAAGGCTTGGTCAGGGTGCTTTGCAGGATGGAATACGAGGGGGACATCTTATCATTGTGAGTAGATTTCTTTAAGTACTAGGACAGTCTATCATTTTTTTTTAAATTTGACATCATTTAAACATAATTGCATAAAATTAAATGTAACTTTTCCTGTTCTATTCTGAAATCTATTGCGTTATTCCGAGATCTAATTACCAGAGGGAAATATCTAAATTATCCCCAGGCTGTATATAAAACGGAAATTTCCTATAGCGTATATAAAACTGCAGCTGTTTTTAATTAATTGTGTAAGGCGATTGGTTATCTGAGCATGGCTGTGGATATGTTAATTTCATTAAGAATTCAATGAAACATGTTTGCATAAACATCAGTTCGATTCATTTAAGTATTTAAATACATTTGACTATCATGCACAGTAGGGTCTTTTAAAAGTTGGTCCAGTTTTTTTTGATAATCGATGGCCGATTCATTGTCTGTGAAAAAAAGAGTGTAGTGCCACAAAAATACCTAACAGATTAAATGTATTTTTTTCTAGTCTGTAAAGTTTTTAAAATAATGCAGCTACATGACATTTTTATTCCTTGGTGCATGTAGGTGAAAACCAGAATGAGTAAATGCATTACTACATTTATGTTGCATAATACCACAAAAAGCGTAAGCTTGGTAGCTTCCTCTTCCACACCCTTATCAATATGATTTTTTTGTGATTTTTCCCCACAGAATAACCAGGCTGATGACCAAGCTGCCTTCCAGAGTTGTTGTGTGGATGCGGCGGCCGTGCGGAATGGCTGGTACTGTGACAGGTTCGTGCTGCATCGCCCGCTGTCCTCCCCAACACACCCGGGCTGCACCAACTATGGAGTCAACATCCCATGGACCACAACCTCGTGTTGTGATCCTCACCTTACCACACTGGACGGTAACAAGTACTCCTTCAACGGACTTGGTGACTTTCTAATGGCAGATGTTGACAATGGGGAGTACCAACTGCAGTGCCGGATGTCACTTGCGGCAGGTGATGTTTTTAGAGATAGATAGATAGATAGATAGATAGATAGATAGATAGATAGATAGATAGATAGATAGATAGATAGATAGATAGATAGATAGATAGATAGATAGATAGATAGATAGATAGATAGATGTTTTAGAGATAGATAGATAGATAGATAGATAGATGTTTTAGAGATAGATAGATAGATAGATAGATGTTTTAGAGATAGATAGATAGATAGATAGATAGATAGATAGATAGATAGATAGATAGATGTTTTTAGAGATAGATAGATGTTTTTAGAGATAGATAGATAGATAGATGTTTTTAGAGATAGATAGATAGATAGATAGATAGATAGATGTTTTTAGAGATAGATAGATGTTTTTAGAGATAGATAGATAGATAGATGTTTTTAGAGATAGATAGATAGATAGATAGATAGATAGATGTTTTTAGAGATAGATAGATAGATGTTTTTAGAGATAGATAGATAGATAGATAGGTAGATAGATAGATAGATAGATAGATAGATAGATAGATAGATGTTTTAGAGATAGATAGATAGATAGATAGATAGATAGATGGATAGATTTGTAAATTTTTACACTACACACAAATGAATCATACAACCTACATGTATACATAACCTACTACGTACAATGTAGTGCTTTGTTCTTCAAATTTGGATAAAGATGTTTACTATGTACAAGCGATGAAAAAGTTTTGAAATTAATTTTAAAATCAAAACATACGCATAGATCTTTATTGTTTGAAATATAACATGTTATAAAAGATTAGCAAACTATCAAAATCCTTCTGCCACCATGACGTCATTAAATGTTTGCACTATTAAATTACAGGTACAGAACACGCCACGATTATTACAACAATCATCGCATATCAGAAGGAAAAACAACCCATCCAAATCCAGGTGTCAGGGGACTCTGACCTGGAGCTGTACGTGAACGGCAGTCTCACTGACCTGTCTGTGTTGGATAAAGAGGGGTACGATCTGGAGGTCGGAGACAACGCCCTGGTCACTAAACCGGCCAACAACTCTCTCTTGGTCATCTTCTTCAGTGGCATCACGATACAAGCAAGTGCAAGGAAGGTTGGTATCCATAATTTGTATCATTTTAATTTTTTCTCCCTTATTATTTATTCCAACTTTACTTCACAGTTTAAATACTTCATATTAAAATTTAATTTATCATTTAGTATGTGCATGGAACTTAAATTTTCCCCACTGTTAATAACATTTCTGGTGGGCCCGTTGTTGTCTCAATACTGTGGGAACACAAAACTGAAAGTTAGGGGACAAAGTTGAATGTGCAGACTAACAGGAATGTTAAATTGAAGCTCAAAATAGCCTACCTGCAAGCTAACAGAAAGCAAATGATACGGTGGATTAACTCAGTTAACTAGAGGATGGCATATTTGCGTTAGTAGAATATATGCACTGCATAAGCAAGAAATGCAAATATTGATAATGAGTAAATTAAAAACAAGAACCATCAACTAAG